AATCCCTGCAGTTGTTAAATTACTCACACGGTTGTTAAGTGATTTCAGCTTCTCCATGGACTTTGCTTGTCAGAAGGTCTCAAAAGGGGGTCACGTGACTCCTGGGACTCAGCAACCGTCATAACTATGAAACCAGTTGCCAAGTGCCTTAATTTTGATCACATGACCGTGGGAATGCTACAACGGTTGTAAGTGTGAAAAAAGATCATAAGTACCTTTATTGCCATTGTAACTTTGAATGGTCACTAAATGAACTGCTGTAACCCGAGGACTACCTGTATCCAATGAAATTGGCCCACTCCCTGAATACAGGGAGTCCTCAACGTACAACCACAATTGGGATTGAAACTTCTGTTGCTAATTGATATGTCCGTTAAGTGAGCTGCACTTGATTTTATGATCTTTTTCCCACGGTTGTTAAGAGAATCACTGTGGTCATTAAGTGAATCATTTCTGTGCCCCCCCCCCATTGCTGGGAAGGTCAGAGAATCATCACATGACCCTGGGATGCTGTAACCATCATAAGTACATGACATTCGCTGAGCATCCGAATTTTGATCACCTGAGCACAGAGCCTTTGCAATGGTCATAACTTTGAGGTCCGGTCATAAATCAATTTTTTCAGCTCCGTTGTAGCTTTGATCAGTTCATTAAACAAATGGTCATGACTCAAGGATTATCTATCATTATCCACCCAAATAAGGATAAAGATCGAGAAATGGAGTTATGTTGCAAAAATTAGAATATCAGCCTATTGCGTCTTTTAAATGAAAGTTTAAAACTAAAAGAGGCAGTTTGGTTTAATGGTTAAAGTGCTGGCGGAGACACCAGGACACGGGGAGTTCTAGTCCCGCCTTAGGTGTGAAAGCCAATTGGGTGACTTTGGGACAGTCCCTAGGAGATGGTGAGTTCTAGTCCCGCCTTAGGTATGAAATCCAGCTGGGTTGCTTTGGCCCAGTAATTCCAGCCTACCTCACAGGGTTGCTGTGGTGGGGAGAATAAAAGGAAGAAAGAGAATTAAGGATGTTATTTATAAAGGCGGGGTTCCACACCATACCACACAAAATACAACACACAATGCAAAATACAATAGGAATACACTACATAATGCAATCCAATGAAAAACAGGATATACAGTACAAAACAGAACACAAATGCAAAATATAATACGATAAAAATGCAATATGAATTCAATATAAAACAACACAGTACAAAATACAGTCCAAATAAATGAAAAATGCAATCCAATATAAAACACAATACATTACAAAATGCAGTGCAAATACAGTACAAAATATAATACAAATGTTGTACAAAACACAAAACAAAACACAAATGGAATACAAAATATAACACAAATACCGTTCAAAATATGATACAAAACACAATACCGTACAGAATAGAACACAGCACAAAATGCGATACAATGCCAAAGATTTTAACAGTCTTATCTTTGCAAACCGAAGTAGCAAAAAAATATTATTTTCCGCAGTGTTGCATTTCCACCCTGTAAGGCTTCCCAAGAAGTCTTCACTTCATTTGCCCTCTGATTCATCCTCGCTTGTTTGGACTCTTACTCAAGTTGTGCTGTTGCTGAACGTTTGTGGTTGTCGTTTGTTGTTGTGCCTCTAATCTTCCACTACGGAATAATAAGTTTGCAGCATGAGATCTTTTGGGCGTGATTTCCTGCCTTTTCACACATTTGTGACCTTTGCATTCGGAAGACACATTTTACAAAGCCGTCTTGTGTATAAGGACACCTCAGAGAGGCGCTGACATCCGTTAGGGTTTCGATGCAGGTAGTCCTCAACTTAGGACAACAATGGAGCCTAACATTTATATTGCTAAGCAGGACAGTGGTTCAATTGAGTTTTTCCCCCCTTTTATCGCCTTTTTTGCCCCCATTGTTAAGCGAATCCCTGAGGTTGTTAAGTTAGTCACGGTCATTAAGTGAATCCGGCTTCCCCGTTGACTTTGCTCATCGGAAAGTCGCAAAAGGGGATCACGTGACCCCAGGAATACTGCAACCGTCATAAATACGAGTCATTTCCCAAGCGTCTGAATTGACCGTCACATGACCAGGGCGATGCTGCAACGGTCGTAAGTGTGAAAAATGGGCATGACTCACTTTTTTCAGTGCCGTTGCAACTTTGAATGGTCAATAAGCATTCAAGGTTGTAAGTTGAGGACTGCCTAAAGGGGAACATCTTTTCTGGTAAGGATAAACCATCATTCACTGCAAACAATGACTCTCAAACAAGTGTCCAGGTAGTCCTCAGGTTACGACCAATCGCTTAGTGGACTTCCCCAAGGCTACTTATACACCAGACTCGGAGTGAGACGTTTTGAGACATGACCACAATTTGCATCCATTCTTTGAATCGAAACTTATTTACTTCCAATTTCGTGAGAGAAACCCCTCACCCATTGTGGATATTGGATTCGCTTTACAACCATGATGTTCGCTTAATGACCACAGTTTTCACTTTACGTCTGTCATGTTCACTTAAAGACTGATGCAGAAAAGGTTGTAGAATGGATTACAATCGCATGTTGATCTGATAATGGCCATCGTGACTTAATTCCAATTATGGTCGTAACTAGAGGATTACCTTTCTCTCTTCCTTATGGTCTCCTCCAATATGTTGAATTCCAGTTCCTATCAGCCTCAGCCAACACCATGGCAGGCAATTCTGCTGGAATAGCTTTCAGTTCCCAGAATCCCCTAGCTAGCATGCTTTAAATTCGGTGGACTTCAATTCGCAGAATTCAGCAGGCTGCCTGAGGAATTCTGGGAGTTGAAGTCCACGCAATTTAAAGCATGTTGCCTGAGGGATTATGGGAGTTGAAGTCCTCTCCTCTTAAAGCATCCTGGCTGGGGCATTCTGGGAGTTGAAGTCCATACATGCTGGCTAAGAAATTGAAACTCACTGTGGACTTAAAAGAAAAAATATTTTTTAAAAAGCACTTGGAAAACCTTACATAAAGTTCTACAAAGGGTTTTGCGGTATTGTTGCAATTCTTTAATTTCTGCCTCTGGATTAAGTGTTCTATTCTTCTTTTTAAAAAGCTGCCGTCGAGGAAAATTTTCTCAAATTCCCCATTGTAACGAGAGAGCAGTCCTGCCAATTCTTAGTTAATATATTATTTTTAGTCGTCCCTTTAAATCCGCATGTTAAAACTGCTCTCAGTAAAAATTTACTGAAACATGGAAGCCTGTTTCTGTAAGATATTAAATTAATTAGAAATGCAGGTGGTTGAAAGAGGTGTTTTCTTTTAGGATGATAGAAAACTATACAGGTAGTCCTCGAATTACGACCACAATTGAGTCCCAATTTTCCATTGCTAAATGAAAGATTTGTTAAGTGAAATTCACCTGATTTGATAACATTTTGTTTCACAGTCATTAATGAATCATTGCTGCGGTTAAGTAAGTCACACGGTTGTTAAGTGAATCTCACTTTCGCGTTGACTTCGTTTCCCGGATGGTCGCAAAAGGGGATCCTGTGACCCCGGTACACTGCGACCATCATAAATATAAGTCAGTATCTGAGTACTGAATTTTGATCGCGTGACCACGGAGGAATGCTGTATGATGGTCGTAAATGTGAAAAACACTCCTGTCACTTTTTTCAGTTGCCGCTGTTACTTTGAACTGTTGTAAGTCAAGGACTACTTAAAAGTCTAATAAAGTGCCAGAGATGCTGGAATATTGAGCCAATTTTAATACGAATTGCAGACAATTGTATCTTTGGGAATTAGTTGCCGGTCTTAGTTGCTCCATTGACATTAATAAATGGATTTTTATGAAAATGGTTTCGGATGCTAATCCCCTGCTTGCTGACGATCGCTAAAATTATAATGGCTCCCAAGAACCGATGCACATCACAAAGCTAAATATATGTTAATAGAGACTGGAAATCAAGCATCGGGGCATCACACGAGCACCAAAAGAAATTAAGGAGGAGCAGGAGACGGAGGAGAACTTTAGATTTGATGAATTATTGATTTTACAGGTATTGCTTGACTACAATGGAGCAGAAATTGTCTGCTTCTAAGTGAGATATTTGTTAAATGGGGTTTGCCTCATTTGGTGGTCTTTCTTGCCACCGTTGCTAAGTGAACCAGTGCGGTTGTTAAGTTAGTCACACAGTTGCACAGTGAATCTGGAATCTCTGGTGACAGAAGATTCCAAAAAGGGGATCATGTGACTTTGCCAGTATGCTGGCTGGGTGGGGGTGGGGTGGGATTCTGCCGGTTCGGGCCAGTTCAGGTGGATCCGGTTCCTCCAAAGATCAGCTGTGAGCAAACTGGTTCTCTCTGACGATTAGCTGTTGGGCCCGCTGGCCGGCCCGGTTCTAGTCTGTGCTTTACTTCCGGGTTTTCCAGGTCAGCTGATTCGCATGGCACAATTTGGTTGCCGCGCGTCAGTTGTTTTACACACAGGGCTTGCAGCGGTTGCAAATGCTGCGCACGCTTGGCGCTCACTGAACCGGTTGTTACACCGGTTGAATCCCACCCCTGTGGCTGAGGGATTCTGGGAATTGAAGTCCGCATTTATTAAACCATGCAGGATGGGGGATTCTGGGAGTTGAATGCCGTATACTTTAAATCATCATCTTTGGGTAATTCTGAGTGTCGGGTTCCAACCCCTCTTAAAATTGCTGAGTATGACACAAGATGATCTATGCGTAAAATTCTCACTTGCAAATGACGGAATCGATTATTTTTTGGATGGGATCCGGCCCCCTGTCTTTGGACCTTTGTGACATGTGGGATTAGCCTTGCAATCCACATCGGCTCACACTTTGCCCCGTTTAAGAAAAATAATAATAATAATAATAATCGAAGGAAGTAACTTTGCTTTTCATGCAGTAATCTTTCTGGAAATATTAATCAGCCTTATAAATCTGCCAAGCGAGAAAAGCAGCATTGAAAAAAAAACAGGCTTTTCCAGCTGAGCTAGGGCTCATTTGCAAAGGGAAACGCACATCAGCCAGAACCCCTCAGGGCAGGAAATGCACTGGGGGGACGGTGTGTTGTTGTGTTGTGTCGGTCCGCCAAGGGTCACCCGACACCTCCATGCGCCAGGAAGAGTCGCAGCAAGAAGACTTGTCCAAAAGTTCGGGATATATCTGCATGTGAGATCTCGCTCGTTTTCGCCGGGACGGGATTTTCGAAGCCGTCCGAGCACTATGCGCCGTGCACAGGCGTGGCAGCCCTCCCAAAAAATCCCACAGGTGGAACCGGGGCCTGGCCATCCTGCAGTGCCTCAACCTGCAGCACATGCTCGTCCCATTGGCGTAGCGTGAAACCGCGCCCCATGCCTCTTGCACCGGCAAAACCCAACCCAGCCGAAATCAGAAGCCGCAGCAGCCGGGTGAAAGATGACAGCCAGCAGCCGTCTCCCCGGGAGTCCGGTGAGGAATTTGGATTTGGTGGGTTTGGAGCCGGAGAAAAAAAGGGGACAAAAGGGGGGTTGTTTGCTGGGATTCAGGCTCCTCCCATAATTCCACCCAGATGGTTCAGCCTCGTTGGCATCCTCCAGACCTTTCAACTTTCCCAACTTTTATTGGGAGTCGTCGCAATTCGAATCTTCGCCATCTGGGAAGCATCCCGTTGACAGAACAACCCAATCTTGGGGTTGATTGCAAAAAGCCCCCCTGGCCTCATTTTCCCAGGCGGAACAATTTGTTTGGATGTGCGCGGTTAGGATTCCTTATCCGGAAGGAAAAGTGGAGGTCAGAGGATGGAAGGAGGATTTGGGTTTTGGGTTGAGTTTTGTTATTTGGTTGAGTTTCGGTTTTTTGGTTCAGTTTAAGAGATTAGATCGAGAGAGGTTGACTTCAAATCCCAGAATTCCCAAATTGGTATGCTGGCTGGGGGATTCTGGGAGTTGGAGTCCTCCCCTCTTAAAGGATGATGGCTGGGGGATTCTGGGAGTTGGAGTCCTCCCCTCTTAAAGGATGATGGCTGGGGGATTCTGGGAGTTGGAGTCCATCTCTCCTAAGGAATCTGAGATTAAGAACCTCTGTTTTAGGGTGACAAACCACCAATGCTGAAGGTGGGATCTTTCTGGGACCCCCATCAGGCTGGACCATTCCAGTCTCACTTACTCACACTCATTTACACACCTGTTGACACTCCAGGTTGTCTTTCCACAAATATTCTGCCCTGTCTACCTTCCTCTGTAGCTGTACGGAAAATCCTCGACTTACGATCACAACTGAGCCCAAAATTTCTGTTACTAAGTGAGATGATCATTAAGTGAGTTTTGGTCCCATTTCTGGCCACTGTTGTTAAGAGAATCACTGCCATTAAGTCAGTAACATGGTCGTTAAGCGAATCCGGCTCACCCATCGACTTTGCTTGTCAAAAGGTCAAAAAAGGTGATCCTGGGCACACTGAGACCGTCATAAACATGAGTCAGTTGTTAATCACATGACCATGGGGATGGTGCAGGTGTGAAAAACATTCATAACTCCCTTTTTTCAATAAATGAACCGTTGTAAGTTGAGAACTACCTGTATTTCTTTCTCATTTATTCCCTTACTTTTTTCTGCCACAATCCTGTGACACAAAAACACACAAACACCTCCAAAAGTTAAAAGGATAAAATACCCCCATCCGGTCCAACTTACTGTCCTGTGTTGTTGATTTGACAAGACACAAAAAACTTGCAGTTTCTCTTCCTTTCTATTCCTAGTGTAGCCAACTTATACGGCATCTCCTGGTGGTGCCTCATCTGCAGACGAATTACACAACCTTGCGTTTGCGTTGTCCATGGGAGAAGCTTGTGGTCGACACTTCCTCGTTTCCCTTTCGCCCCCGGGGTTGTGCAATTGTGCGGCAAAGCAATTGTGTTATCCAAGACAGGGGTTTCCAGCCTTGGCCACTTTAAGCCTGGAGAACTTCAACTCCCAGAATTCCCCATCCAGCTGGCTGTGGAATTGTGGGAGTTGAAGTCTTCCAGGCTTAAAGTATCCAAGGTTGGAGATCCCACTCCAATAAACTGGTGAGTGAGGGTGAGTTCCCTACACAGGCAGGCAGCTCTGTGTGTGTGTGTGTGTGTGTGTGTGTGTGTGTGTGTTTGCAGTCGTGAACAGGGCGGCCGGTTTACAGGTAGTCCTCGACTTACAACAGTTCATTTAGTGACCCTTTCAAAATTACAGCAGCATTGAAAAAAGCGACTTATGACCGTTTTTCACACTTACGACCATTGCAGTCCTCCCCGTGATTGAAATTCACACGCTCGACAACAGACTCACATTTACAACATCTAAGGCGTCCCACGGGTCACGGGATTCCCCTTTGGCGACCTTCTGACAGGCCAAGTCAACGGGGGAGACAGGTTCACTTAACGACCGCATGATTCACTTAATAACTGCGCCGATTCACTTGATGACTTTGGAAAGAAGCTCACTTCACAACTGTCTGACTTAGCAACAGCAATTTTGGATTCAGTTGCTGTAAATCGAGGATCGCCTATGTCTTCCTATATATATTGTTGTGTTGTATTGTTTGATTATCTTATTTTATTTACTTTATTGTATGTTACTTTATGTTACTTTATTATATTTTGCTTTATTTACCTACCTGCAACTGCCTTGCTTATCAAAGGATCTGTGGTCGTAAATCGAGGACTTTTATCATGTTCACCACCTGCCTTACTATAATATTCCCATCCTGCGTTTCTCTCTCTCACTTTCTCTCTCTACAGGAAGTCCTTGGCTTATGACCTATAGGTGGTCCATGACCTACGACCACAAATGAGCCCAAATTTCTGTTGCTAAGCAAGACAGTTATTAAGGGAGTTTTGCCCCATTTTACAACCTCTCTTCCCACCATTGTTAAGTGGATCAGTGCATTTGTTAAGTTAGTCACCCGGTCGTTAAGTGACTCTGGTTTCTTCATTGACTTTCCTTGTCGGAAGGTCGGAAAATGGGCAGCCCATGACCTTGGGAATGTCATAAGTATGAGTCAGTTGCCCAGCATCTGAATTTTGACCACATGACCCCGAGAATGCTGCCATCGGTCGTAAGTGTGGAAAAACGGGTCCTTTTTTTCATCGCCGTTATAACTTTGAACGGTCCGTAAACTATCTATTGTAAGTCGAGGACTCGCTGTGTTTCTGAAGTGTGAAAACTCTCTGGGTGCCACCACATCCGTCTCTCTCGGTCTCTCCGCCATCCTGGGTGGGAAAAAATATGCAAAGAAAACCGGATTTGCTGCGTGGTTCAGACAAGTCGGGACTCGAATTCTGAACTTTGTCCGTTCCCAGCAAACTGGTTGGATTCATCCCTTGCCTGAGTCGTGTGTGTGTGTGTGTGTGCATGTGTGTGTGTGTGTGTGTGTGTGTGTGTGTGTGTGTGTGTGTGTAGAAGAGGATGGTGGAAGCTGAAATGCCAATCAAGGTAGCTCAAGAGGGCAGGAGGAAGGAGGAGTAATACACTTCCACCTGCCTCAGTTTCCCTACCCTTCCCCTATACTGGGAACACAGCAAGAAAATCCTCGATTTACAACCACCCTTGGAAGCAGAATTTCCACTGGTAAGCAAAGCCCAAACGGCTCGCAACCGAATCTGCGAATCTGCGTTCATTGGGTTGTTAAGAGAGTCACTGTCGTTAAGTGAACAGGATGGCGGTTCAGTGAATCTGGCTTCTTCCGTTGGCTATACTCATCAAATAAGTCAGCCGGGAAGGTCACAAAACGGGGATCATGTGATCCCAGGACTCTGCCACCCCGATAAATACTGGTGGTCCCCAATTTACAACCAGAATTGCACCCAAAGTTTCTTTTGTTAAGTGAGACAGGGGTTAGGTGAGTTTTGCCACATTTTACGACATTTCTTGCCACAATTGTTAAGTGAATCACTGCTGTTCTTAAGTGACACACACGGCTGTTGTTAAGTGACACACACGGCTGTTAAGTGAATCTGGTTTCCCCGTGGACTGGGCTTGTCCGGTGGTTGCAAAAGGGGATCATATGACCCGCCCCGGGGCACGGCGATCGTCATAAACACGAGTCAGTTGCCAGCCGTCTGAATTTTGATCATTCGTGGCCACGGAGACCCAACGGCCGTAAGTATGAAAAGCAGTCCTAAGTCCCCTTTTTCTCAGCGGTGTTGCAATCTCGAACGGTCCCTAAACGGACAGTTGTAAGTCGAGGACCGCATGCTGGTTGCCAAGCACCTGAGTTTTGTTCACGGGAACTTGAGACAGGCTGCCACGGTTGTAACAGCGAGGATCGGTCGTAACTCGGTTTCATCAGTGCCTCCTAAACAAACGGTTGTAAGTCGAAGACGCACACACACACGCACACACACACACACACACACATGGTCCAGGGCGAAGGGCTGGGAGAGACGTTGACGTCCGAGCTGTAGGAAAGATTTGCACTTCAAACCGCAACTCACCGCGGCCGTAAGGAAGGCTGGAGAAGGATAAAATTAAAAATGCAAACCTGCTTTGAAAAGATAAGGCTGAACTCTTTGGGCCCCGGATTGTTCAAAGGGGAGGAAAAACACCACAACCTGGAAATACCGCAACCACAAAAACAATGACTCTAAAAGGAGACCTGTAACCAGACGCCATAAAAATCGAGGTAAACAAACTTGGTCCCTCTCGGCGTCCCCAAACAACAGCCAGGTTGCCCACGTCGTTTCAATGACACTGGAAAGTCCCCAACTTATGACCACGATGGAACCCAGAGCTTCTGTTGCTAAGCGAGGCATACGTTAAGTGAATTTTGCCCCGTTCTACGACCTTCCTTGCCACCATCGTTAAGCGTATCACAATGCAGTTGTTAACTGAATCCGCATTGACTTTCCTTGCCAAAAGGTCGCAAAAGGGGATCACGTGACCATCGTATATATGAGGTGGTTGCCAAGGGGCTGAATTTTGACCCTGGGGGATGCTGCAATAGTCGTAAGTGTAAAAAATGGTCGTAGCTTGTTTTTTCCAGTGCCGTTGTAACTTTGAATGGTCACTAAACAAAATGCTGGTAAGACTTCCTCTGTTGTATGCCGCAAACAACATCCATTTCACATCCTATACTGTGTAGATCATCCTGCAGGCTGAAGCACAAATTTATGCCTCCGAAACGCAGGGTCCAGACTTCTGATTTTTAGCAGGACAATGCAGGTAGTCCTCAGCTTATGACCACAACTGGACTACGCGATGTCATCCCTCAGGGAGCCCCATCCAATTTTACAACCTTTTTTTCTATGCTGATTAAGCAACTTTGGCTTCCCCTGTTGTCTTTCCCTCAGTCGTTAAGCGAATCCCTGTAGTCGTTAAGTGGATCGCCCCATCGTTAAGTGTCTGTCACTTCCCCCAGGTAGTCCTTCACTTAGGACCACCACTGGGATGTTAATTTCTGTTGCTAAGGTTAAGCATGTCGTGCCGGGTTTTTGCTAGGT